TAAAAAAAAGTCAAGATGTCGGCAATGACAGTGAGATTGAAGCTCCATCTGTTTTTATGTGTTGTATCTAGGACACACATAAAAAATAGGCAGAGCTTTGACCACTCCATCATGGCCACCATCTTGTCTTTTTTGGCCATACCATATGCATGCTCCAGGCACCTCCCCAACTCTTTGCTCAGTGACTGGGAGTCATGCATGCACCGCCCTGAAGCACCCATAGGCCCTGGGCTAATTCTACTCCAACAGTCTTCTGATTGCTATCACCAATAGCATGGGTGGGGTAGGGTATCCCATTTGACATATCATAGAACTGCCCCTGGTTGCTGTTATCTTAAGAAGAAAACACTGCTTTTAACACTCGTACAGCTAAGGACAATGTAAGGCTATCTTACACACGGGCTTGAGGGGAAGATCATGGAGACATGGCAAATCAATTGCCAGGGGATATTCATACTGAGGTTAGATAAAACAGGAAATGGCCATTACTGCTTTTGGACCAGGGAATCTTTGGGGATAGGTGCAATTCTGCAGCAACATGGTATATTATTTGGCCCTTTTCCATTGGAGAACTTCTAGTGGTGTAATATGCTGGATTACATTTTTGATTCTGAGATTTCTGGGTTTTTCTGTTCTCATTTTTAACAATTACAAGTAAAAGTATCCTATCCTAATTTGGTTTCAGTGCATAAAACTGTAAAAAAAAATGTTAGCCAGCCTTGTTTCGAACATCATAGACATTATGAGTAGTGTCTGAGTAAGGAAATTTTAACCCGAATCCTGATAAAACTTCTAGGAATCTTCTTGAGGACATATATTTTATTTGTTTCTTTGTTTGAAAGTTTGCATATACTGGAGTGAACAATTGGGTCAGATATAGTAGCCACAGATGTACCTGTTGAACAGAGGTACACACTTAGCTATCTTGCTAATACAGCATGGAGTTTCCTTCCACATCTATCCAAGTAACACAGGTAAGTTTTATGTTTGTTTGTTTGTTTGTTTAGTACAGTTTATATGCCACTCAACCCAACAAGGCCTAAAGCAGCTTATAACAGAAAAAAAAATAACCATTATAAGCTGAACAGAAACAAAACAACCATACCTTGAAGGACAGTCACAACATCCAATCCATAGCAATACCAATCCCCTCATCACCAGTCTAACCCAAGTCTCTCCAAAACAGACAGGTTTCCATTGCTAGATGAGCCACTGCATTCTGGACAAATTGAAGCTCCTGGGGGGGGTGGGGGGTGTCTTCAGGGGCATTGTGGAGTGCATTGCAGTAGTCCAAATGAGAGGTAACTAAGGCAAAGTGAATGTGATCAGGGTGCCCTGATCCAGAAAAGCCTGTAACTAGCACTCTAGATGGAAATGTGCAAAGTCCCCTCCTAGCCACAGATGCCACTTGCTCTTCAAGCAGAAGCTGTAAATCGAAAAGGACCCCAAAATTATGAATCCCAAATTACAAATAATGCAGTGCAAACCTATCTAGGGCCAAAGGTGGAATACGTCTGGTATCACAAGGCTTCCAGACCTGTAGCATTCCATCTTGCTGTGGTTAAATCTGAGCCTGTTTACCCCATCCAAACCCTAACAGGAACCAGTTCTACCACATCTCCTGTCTTACATGGGGCTGAGAGGTACAAGAGTATCATCTACAGACTGATAATACCCGCCAACATGTTGATGGATCACCTCACCCAGTGCTTCATATAGATTTTAATAGGAAAGGAGGCAATGTTGAATACTGTTGCACCCTCTAATGGAGAAGCCTAGGAACATGACCTCTCCCCTCCCACTATCACTGACTAGAACTCCCTTTTAGGAAGGAGAAAATCCACTGCAAAACAGTGGTTCCCACTCCCACTCCTTGAAGGTGGTCCAGTAAGATACCATGATCAATAGTATCAAGACGTTTAGCAAGATCAGTTGTAGTTCTTCTGTCCCAGTCATGCCACAGGTTGTCCACAAGAGTGATGTGCTCTTAATACCTTACCCAGGACCTAGATAATGTTTTTTCCAGGGGTCCAGGTATCTCAAGGATATGGCAAGTCTGATGCTTATACATTCCATTCCATACACATTTAAGGCACTGATGCCTGAACTAATCCAGGCTTTTTTTACTCCAACTGGATTTCAGTCCTTTGAAGAATATACTCAGATATTTTGTTCTTTCCAGTTCTCTGTATTGCTGAAGAGGTTACCTGCTTTTTTCAGTTCAGGATTTCTTATCGGTGATTTGTGAATTCCATAGTAATGTCAGGGAATCTGTCAATTGCCAGAGATTTGCTGAATTACAGATCCTAGCAACACCAGCCAATATGACCAGTGATAAACGATGTCAGGAATTGTAGCTCAGAAACATCAGGGTCTCCATTTCTTGCTTAGGATGAGTCACCTTTCCAGCCCTGAGAACTGTATATGGTAGTCAGCAGTCACAGGCTATACATATGAGTGTATGTTGTATGAGCACATCTTCAGAGATCACTGGATCCCCATGCTTCCCTCTTTCTACAATTATGCTGCAGATCATTACTTCTTCATTACTATTAGTAGTCCTTAGTATTTTTGCTAGGAAGAGGAAAAGGTTATATTTCTCTTTTCCAACAGTCCTGTGCTGTGTCACTAGGAAGGGACAGATGCCTCGTCCTCCCTTTTTCAGAATTTCTGCAGCACAGCACCAATCTTCAGTAGGATCCAGGGAGAGAGGATTTTCAAATGATTCCAGTCCAAATTGCTGCCGGTATGAGTGAGAGTCTGCAATTTGTTTCTCAATCTTCAGGCTGATCTACTTGGTGGTGGGGAAAAGTAGAGAGAAGACATAGCAAGCAGCACAGGCAAGAAGTGAATTCATCTACTCTTACGACTTTCCTTGCTCCCTTCTCTTGTGAAATCACTCTTTGGGTGGGCAGCCTTCTTACCAGGATAACTATTTTGTTTTACTTAATTTGATTTTTGTTGTTGTTCATTTACTTCTGGGGGCCTAAAGCAGGAGATCCCATCGCACACCAGCTCCGCCAAGACCCCATTCAGAGCATTATCCAGCTTAGTGGGTGGTCTGCTTTGTGAATATGCAGTGAATACTAAAAAGGCAAATCAGTAATAAAACATGATGGCTTACAGCCCTAACCCTCCACCACAGTGTCAGGAGAATGAGTGGTGGTTGGTTTTCCCACAAGTGGGTGAACTGACTGGGGAGGGGAAAGGATTAGCAGGGAATCCACCACTTACTGCCCCTGAAACTACCCCATGTCCTTTGTGGGATGGCAGCAACACTGACTGGTCTTGTTGCTGCTGCACAGTCAAGGTAGGTTGTGGGGAGCAGCACAATCTGGATTGACCTACTTTCTTTCCAACTCAAGTATGGGAGGAAAGTACATTAAATGTGACTGTGAGGGAGTGCCCCAACAGACAACCTTCATTACAGATTGATCTAAAAGTGCATAAATTAATATCATTCCAGTGACACTGGCAACAAATCAGGGATGTGGTATAAGCATTAACTAACATTCATGGAAAACAACATAATCTATTTCCAGTTTGCCTGGAAACACTGACTCAGCCTTCCATGCCCCAAGGGTTCTGCTTTTAGGTCAGCATTCACAGGTAAGGTAAGAAACAGCTTGCTTTTGGGGCTGTTGTTTTTGTTGTTGTTGTTTCTGATAAAAATAGGACCTTTGAACATCAAAGCAAAACAGCTTAGGCAGTAACACGTTCCCATGCTCTTTCCCCCAGACAGAAGAAACCACCAAGAGTCTCACACAGGCAGGCGTGGGCATACAAGCGGCAAATGGAATCCACAACTCTACCTCAAAATGGCTTTTGAAATACGGCAGTGATATGGAAACTGTTTCCAGAATGTTTTGTTTTTTTTTTAACTTCCCAGTCTAGTCTATTTCCTGGTGATCTCTCAACTAAACACTAAGGAGATTTGTCCCTGCTTAGCTTTGGAGAATACACCAAGGTCAGCTGTGTGCTGGGGCAGATTTTCTTCCAGGTTCCTTAAAGGTACATTCAATATACCCCAAACAGAACTTCGATATATTTCAGAGCAGGCAAGCCTTTTTCAGCTGACAGCCTTCTGGTTGTTGTCATCTGCCAGGAGGCACAGGAGTCAAGGCAATGCTTCACCAGAGACAGCAAGGGCTGAATTTTGGGCCAACTAGTAAGGAGTACTTTAACTTGACATATGGGAACATCTGGCTTAGAAAAGCTAGACTATGCTGGCTGGCTACAGCTTTTCACTGGTAATAGGCATGGGGTGCTCTATTCAGATAGAACTGGGAGAAATGTGAATATTTAAAGTCCAAGTTTCCCTCTCATGTTATTTACTTAGTGGAGGGAGAATCCAGCATTTATAAAATCCCATCACAAATGCAGGAGATTAGATAATATACTGGCCTGTAAACATGTTTCCATTTCATTCTAGCAAAACAGGAGCAAAACAGCCTCAGGACTTGCTAATGGCATGAAATGACCTGAAGTTGGTAAGACTCATGTTCTGATTGGCACTGACATTTTATCCCACGACAGAAGTCCCAGACTGGACTTTTCTCACATAAGATGCATGGTGACTGAGTAGTATGGATTGATTTTCCTAAATGGTACATTTAGCTACTCTTTGTCTTCACTCCATATGTCCTGCACTTCATCAAACTTTGTTGGGATTTAAAGAACGAACGTATAAACTTTCAAGCCTTATTAAGAAGAATAGCTTTATGATTAACTGAAAGCCCAATAAGCATTGTGTCATGGGTAAACTATCAATATTCCATAAATCTGATTTCACCCCAGAGACAAAAAGAAAGGTTTCCTATGAGTTCTATTCTAGGCAGAAGGCTGTATATGATCACAGATGGTATGAGCATATTCCCACAGCAGCTTCCCATGGCACTTTTATCTGCTGACAGACTGAGGACTCTAATTTTATTCTTTTCAAGACCCACCTTCAGTTGGTTCAGAGAAGCCAAAAAACTCAGCTGACACAGAGATATGCTGTACATATTTATTTCTTCTGTTAAGGTTTATAGTTCGAAACAACATACAGACAAGCCTTTTCTTTAAAGTGCATAGGGGATACAGGGGGGAAAAAACAATCACAGAAGGCTCAGAAGCACCAAATGGCACAAATCAAATCTGAGCTAAAAGGAGAAACTCAGGGTGCATGTCATCATTTCAAGTAGTTTTCAGAATTTGCCAACAAGGGTTAAGCAACACAAGATTGTTCCCTGTTACAGAAACTCTGGAAGCAACATGGATACTGCTTTCCCCAACTTGGTGCCTTTCAGATACATCAAACTGCCGTGTGAAGCAGCCAGAGGGACACACTCAAAACACTGATGACACACACATTATGGTTGTATTAGACTGCTACTCCTATGCAGCAGGGCCTTAAACTGAGAGTAATGGGAGTTGCAGTCCAACCAAGCTGAAGGACACCAAATTGAGGAAGACTGTCTTACTTGTTTAAACTTATCTGAAAAACCAGAAAGGCCCAGGAGGTGGCAGTGAGGAAGACAAGCGCTATAAATTGTGCTAACATTGAGCCAAGCTCCTCTCCAACAGACACAAATAAAAAGGGAGCAGCAGAGTGAGGCACTGCCTCAGGACTACTATCAGGATAAAAGCTGATGAAGAAAGACATTTGAAAGGGGCTATGTACAGATCTTCAATTCAATCCAGTATGAGAAACTTCCCCTTACGTTGCCAAGGCAGTAGCCCTGATCCAGGAATAAACTGACAGTTCTCTTAGAGGAGGAATGTAAGCAATGGAGTCACAAAAATGTGTATCGAGAAACAGCTATTGGGGAACATGAGTGGGAAATGGCTAGTGAGTTTCCTAAAGGCAGATGTTCAGCCAGAATAGGATGCTAGATTAAACAGATCTTTGGTCTTATCCATTAGGGCTCTCGTGTTCTTATGAAAAAGCTTCAATTGCATCTTCTGTCAGAATTGAGTTTTTTTAATACTTCAAAGCAAAACTGAGAACATACATTATGAGAAGATGGTACAATCATCATCACCATATTTAATGATAGACAAGTTCTATTTTAGGAGGTAATACCAAAGCTTGTGTAATACTAACACCAAATGCATCTATCATGCTGTTTCTTTGAGTGTGCCTGATCACTATTTAAGTAGTCAATAATACAAGAGCATTGCAACAAACATCTTACCCATTGGTTACACAGAACTCCCCTATAATTTGGATAGGCTGATTCTAGACTCATTTGAGAGATCTGATAGTCACTGGCCTCACTATCAGTGGCAATAAATCCCATCTGGCTCTGAATGAATGGATGCATGCATGCAGTCAAGCAGCACTAGAACATATAACATCATTCACTGTGGATTATGGAAGATAGGAATGACTGAATGGGAAAAAAGAGTAACTCTAAAACAAAAGGAGGTAAAAGAGCTGAAGGAACTCAAAGAGTGAAGGGTGCCAGCCAAGGGAATAGTGGCAAAAGGCAGAATACACTGAAATACCTCTACAATATAAATAGGAACTTAAATCCTTCTACAATATAAATAGGAACTTCCTGATATACTTCATAAATTAAGATGACAATCTATTTATACACACATACCCCAATATCCCTGTTTAAATACACACATTCAGTCCACCTGGAAAGAAGTATGTAACCATATAATAGCAAAGGAAGGGACAAGCAGCTTTCCTTCAAGTCAGGATACTTAAGGATGAACAGTTCAGCTTCCCCAGTGCTAAAACATCTGGGTTTTCAGTCCCCATTCTTCATTAACTGAAATTGTCCCAAAGTCTGACTGACCAGCTTAGTTGTAGATATGGAGCTCCATATATTTTTGTCACTCAGAACACCTGAGATACATGGCTAGAACTGAGGTAGGGAAAAGAAGGAGAAGAGAAAGTGTCAGATATACCAGGTCTGGCTTCTGGAATTGTATTTATGCAAGGCACAATTAACAGCAACAGCATGTTGGGTGCAAGGGAGAAGGGAAGATGAAACACCAACCATATCAAGTCAGCCAGAGCAGTCAGTATCAAGATTTTAGTTAAGCACGGTTTGTTGAATAATTCATGATTAGCTAGGTTCTCACATCAGACTAATGTATAAACTGTAATACACAAATTGCAGTAATTTTAATTCACATATTGTATTAAGCCCAAACCAAACACATAATGGCTTACAATAATATGTGAACTATATAAATCTCTTTGAACCTGTCTGGGACCTGTCTGTCTGGGACACATGCAGTTCTCCTGCATCAAAGGTCACAACAGGCTACAGAATGAGCCTGCTCTTGGCAGAGAATACCACTAACCGTATTTGAAATTTCAATCTGAATTAAGAGAAGAAAGCAAATTCCATTTAATGGAGTTTATCTACTACTTTTTTTCTTTCTTTTCTTTTTTGAAGAAACAGATTTCCGTTTCAGAGATTGTAGCAATCCTGTAATATATGCAAATGCTCTGTAGAAGGGATAGATAAAGGCAATTGGCCAGGGAGTCTCAACCACATTCCCACATAGCAGCTGTGATGCCACTGAAAATTGTTGGTCTTTTTTTGTGCATCTGAGGAGTTGGTCAGGTGACCAGTGGATACAGGATTTATTCACCTCCAAAGGTCTCAATGTCCAGTCGGACTCTTATTTTCACTTTTTGATCCCAAAAGCACAATACTAAATTGTAGGGGAGAAATTTGGGCCATTTTTTTAAAGTTTGGGGTATATTTAAAGGTGAAAATGGAAGCAGTTCATCTATCAGAGGCTTTGCATTCAGTTCCCATCTGTATTTTTACAGAAAGTAATCAAACTAAAAAACATAAAAATCCGCATTGCCTAAATTTAGCTACTATGCCACATTCCAAGTTAAGAGAGTTAACCTCTATATGAGGGGGAGACAAATCAAAACATTAAACTTTAATCTGCAATGGCTTATTTGAGGCCTCACTTAAGCATTCTCCAGATAATATAAGTGAGCCACTGTGGAATCAGAGCATGATCAAGGCCCTTCTTCCCAAATCAAAACAAAGAAATCATGCAGCTTTGCAGTTTCTTGACTCTCTTATTCTGCAATTTACCAGAACATTAGTTTTGCTTCCTCTTCAATAGAACAGCCAAATCAATTCTCCTCCCTCTTACATGCACATTTTTAACCCCCAAAGAATCTCACCTTCTGAGCAAAATCAATAAATTTGATCCTGGAAAGAATCCGTCTCAGTTCCCCATGATTGATTTTGGGATCTGTGTCTTTCAGAGGTATGTCCCGGCTCTGGGTCATCAAAGCCCACCGCAGGCGGAGCTTACTAACGGAGAGAACCCCTGGCTGGTGTTCAGAAGTGGGACTCGTTGTCACAGTAATATAAAAGGCATCTTTTTGAAGATCATTTATTCCAACTAACAGATGCAAAGGGGAACAAAAACAACAACCAGTGACTACTAAACAATAAATCACATTCAGATTCATAAAGCTAATTTCTATTAGCTGTTCTTAAATGAATTCAGGTTTGGCTTCTAGTTATAGCTAAAAGCTAGGCACAGTGATCAGTGGTCCGAAACAGCTATGAATACAAATAGCTCTGCAGAACTGATTCAAGGTTACAATCACATACAGCATTTCTGGTTGTACAATTACAAACAAGCAAAAACAAATAATTCTGAAATCTTAGCACGTTTACAACGGCAGAAATTGTAATTGCAACAAAACATTTAACACCCATAAAGAAAAGATGCAGCCAATTTCATTAGAAGAATACAAGATGCCAAGAAAAACACACCTTCTGTATTTTAGATCCTTGACAGCCAAGGCCAATTTAATGAAAATATGCAAATAATGAGCTGCCTTGTGCATTGGAAGGAAAGATCAATATTTAACTAAGAGGCTTAAGTGCTACAAACAGCCTAGCAAAAAAGGGAATTGAGCCGTGATTAGCCATCACGAACTAGGACAGCTTTCAGCGTTTATTTAAGCATCCTTGGCTTTTCTTTTTCCATTTTCCCTTGCATACTCACTGGATGAAGCAATCACTGGGTCTGTCGTATTACTCAAGTCCAAAAGGACCGAAGGGAAAGTAGGATGAAGAAGATAAAGATGGTGAATCCTTGGCCTGGGTTCCTAAAACAGCAGCGACAACAGTAGCAGTCATAAAGGGCCCCTGCTTAATTCATCCTACACCTTTCAATGGAATTAAACTAGACATCTGAGACCAATTTCCATAGCCCGAGCCAGCATGGCCAGTGGTGAAGGGTGATGACAGCTATACTGTAAAACATCTGGAGGGCACAACATTGCCTATTGTAATAAAAAGGGACTAAAGCAACATGGATGGCAGGGGAGAAGAGCTTCTAATGGCCAAACAGCAGTCAGGACATCAACAATTCCAGTTATTACCATCTTCAAATTCCCATTAAAATCAGTCTGCGTATGCATGTCAGTTATCACTATTTCATCTTGCTGCCTCCTCCACTAACCTCAGTATTGCTCCCAAGTTAAATGGCCAACATTCACTATAATTCTCAGTGTTCCTTGAGGAAATTCTTGAGAGTCAGCCTTTTTCTTTTTCATTTTTTAAATTATTTTTTTCCCCTTCCAGGAGAAGAGGAGGGGAGGGAAAGCAGTGGTTTGCCCAAGTCCATAGGTTAATGCAGAATCAGGACTGCATTTTATATGTTTGTTTGTATTGCCTCATGGAAGTTAACAGTCCAGTAAGAGTCATGTGATATGAAGGAAACTAAAATGAAAACAATAATCAAAAAAGGTTGCTTTTTAACCTTCTACAGTTTTCTTCTCATTTCAGGTATTCTAGTGATTATGTGTTATCAGTGGAGGAAAAGCACAGACAGGGTGAAGAAGAGTCATTATGAAGAGAAGAGAGAAACACAAGAGTAACATATGAGTACCAGCATAACTGAGTTTCTCTACTACTATGCTAGCCCTTCAAGTTTATTAAATATATTTTATTCAGTTCCTTATATATGTAATGCCTGTGTGGATTTATCAGACACAGCATTAAGAGTTTGGTCAATATTATACCTTCTCTTTTACTGTGTGTAGCTCCTATAGCTTGGCTGAGCTGACTAAAGGTTGTTTATGCAAGCTTGGCATGAAGATTATTTCAAGTTGCTCAATGCTGCATTGCAGTAATAAATATTACAACTACTGCTCACTGACAGAGTAATAAGCCCCTTTACTAAAAGACAGATGAAAGCATGAATACTGTTGTTTCCAAAGACCTTCAAGTTCTTGTAATTGCTAAAGAATTCACCTAAAAAGTAAGGTGAGTTCCCTAGCTTCTTTTATATCTAGGACAGCAGTGATTCCACAGCATGCCAGGTTGAACACAGGTTCAAAACAAATATGGCTACATCTTCCAACATGTGTGATCTGACAAACAGGTCCAGCTCAAGGCCACTTTGATTTTTTAAGTTTTATAGAACTGGCTAGCATTTGAAAAATAATCAACATTCCAGATATGGAAAAGTAATAATAACCCTTTTCAAAACAGCTGGTCTGAGATTTTAATGAGAGGGATGTTTTCAGATGGTTTGGACTGTAGCTTCCATAATTCTTGCCAGTGGCTTTGCTAACTAGGATACATGGGAATTAATAGCTTGCCTACTCAGAAATGGAATTTGCTATCAAATCCAGTTTAGATTCTTATAATCTCATAATCTGAGACTAATATATTTAAGGATTGTCTGTATCTATATTACTCTGGCCCTGCTTGTAGACCTGCTATTAAGACATTTCAGACCGGCAGGTACAAGAGAAATAGAAGCCCCATGTGGAATTCCTTTCCTAGAAAAAGATGCACACCCACATACCCTTACTGGCCTTTAAACACTTTTATTTCAAACTGCTGTTAAATGCATAATGCTCTGGGTTTTGCATCAACAGCTGCTATACTGCACTAAGGAAGATGCATGTTGCCAAAGGAAGTTGTTCTTAAACTGTACAGATACGTGTGGGGGGAGAAAGAGAGAGATGGATGTAATGGTTAAGGTAGTAGACTAGGAGTAGGGAGACACAAGGATCTAGTCCTCCTGTAGGCCGGCTGGGTGACTTTGGGCCAGTCCCTCTCTCTCAGCCCTAGGCAGGAAAATAAAAAATCCCTCTATCTACCAATCCAATCTACACAGCATGGTAGATTATGGTCCATAACTTTCAGTGAAGAAGTCTTTGATTCAGGCTGATGACAGACATTGTGTATTTAAATAAAGAACTAGACCAGGAAAACATTCACAGAAATAGAAATAATTTCCCCCAAAAATATTGTTTCAAAGTCCCGGAAACACATAAAAACAGAAAAAGAAGATAAAATGAGCAAAATGTTTTTCATGCCCTTATATAACTGCAGCTTGTTCCCAAACATAAAGAATTAGATAGTGCAGTTTCAGGGCAAATAGCCTCCTCCAAACTGAAGAGCTCCACACTCACCAAACTTTTGAAGACAGATTGCTTCTCATTAGCCCAGAAAAGAAAAACAGATTTTTTGTCCAAAGTCAGCACTGACAGTGCATCTGATTTTCTCATGTGATACGGCAGCTCATAGCTCCAAACTGGTAGCCCTGACTTACCATCCACAACCAGCATCTGAAAACAGAGAAACCCAGAATTAGCAAGATAAAACTTCAGGGGGGATGCAGGGAGAAGTGGAATCAAGAGGTTTTCTGGGCATTATTACAAACAAGGCAGCTAAGCTCCAAGCTATCCAAATGTCAAGTGCTTTTCTCATATATAAAGTTTCCTGCATGTAGTAAACTAGGGTAAAAAGGGCTACACTAAAAAAGAGCTTTCATTAGGATTGCAGAACAGAAAGAAAGGATTAAACACTCTTTCCATATCTGCTGTGGTCCCTTTAATTACCACTCTTAAGAGATGCACATTAAATGCCAGGATGCCTTTAATGTCTAGCTTGGCCCTTCACTCTCAGGAATGAAAGATCGCATGACAGTCGTAGTCAACTTGTTGTGGCCACTGCTTAGGGGAAAGGTCATGGCTGTCTCAACAGACACATTTAAATGGCATGGACTACACATTCTGCAATATGCTGCCACTAACTTTACTAACCACAACTTGTAGGAATTAAAATCCAAAATACCAGGGGTGGGTCATCTGGCTTATCTTCAATTAGAATTCAACTGATACTGCTTGACACAATGGATCAAATGTAAGGGAGCACATTGGGCAGCTACGCCAATCTTTCCCAATCTGGTGCCTTCCAGAAATATTGGACTACAACTTCCAGAATTTCCAACCAGCACTGGGTTGAGGAAAAGTGCTATAAATGCTTACTTTGGAGCTATCTGCCTGAATAGTTAGAATACACAGGATCGTACTGTAAGAAAGCAGTGAATGCACCTTTCTAGAGATGTTTCCATGCTGTGCCTGAAGCATGAAGTCCAAAGTTTGATCATCATTGAAGTACCCTGGGCAAGGCTGGCTGCAAAAATGAAGAATGCAGTCAGACTGAAAAGTGGACAAAGGAAGCATCTTATGTCCATGCATGGAGAAGTAACTTTTCCTTCATTGGAGCACATCTGCATTTCTACAAGCCCAGGCTTTGTCAAAAAAATTCAGACTGTCCACTGAATCTGCTCTCCTAGCCAGGAGACCAGTAGTTGTTAAATCAGAGGAAGGTCAAAAGAAAAATAAGAATTGATTCTGGGCCCTAGCCACATCCTGAAATTTTCTAGTAGCATTTTTTCCCACTCAAGTAGAATCTGATTCGCCTAGGTTTCCACTTCAATTGAAGCTTTATGTCCTTTATGTCCATTAGGCCCCTATTCAGTATAGTGCATGGGGATGAGTCTTGTGCATGCAAGTAATACAAGAACAGCCAGCCCTCATGACCCTTCTGTGCATCCTTTTAACGTGAGTAGGATTTCCCCAGCCCACCACCGCCCTTTGGACTTGGGCACTTCAAACCAAAACCTCTTTCAATGCTGCCAGTAATACAAAGCTTCTTGTTTCAATTGCAGGGTCATAAATATTATCATAGTCATAGGTAACTTATTTTAAATGTGTGTCATATCATTTCTCATCTAATTAGGGCTGACACCACATCTAGTAAGCTTTTGGCATAAACCAAAGATTTACCTGTTCATCTAGCATCAGGGTAATAATGAAAACAAGCCAAACAACTTCCATAATATTTACAGATGATGATGCAGTAATTATTTTCCTCTACTTTTTAACTTATTTTGATTTTTGAGAGTCAACTTAAGACTTATTACAAATAGGAACACTATATTATTGGAATAATTTAAAAAAAAACAGCCATCAAACGTTCAGATGAATATATCAGTTTTCAGTTGCTCAGAGATGTTCTCCAATGCCTCTTCACAAGGTTAGATCACCCAGCCCCAACCTGGTGACCCGCTAGATGCACCGAATGCCAACTCCCACACTTGCTAGCCAGTCTAACCAGATTAAGGAAAGTTGATTTAAGAGAAAAACATTCCACAGCTGAGAGGAAGCTGCTATAGATTAATACTAACAAGAATTGCTCTGCACTAATCTGCCATTACACATAAGGAGAAGCAGAAATGGCCACACTCCCCCAAACCCAGTAACCTGTCAATATCCGTCTGTTCTAGATTCCAACGCTGTTCCAAATCCTGACCTCGCAGTAAAGTCAAACCATGTTCAGTGGTAATCAAAAGGTCACTGCAGTTGCTATCAGGAGATTTCACTGCCTGTAGGAATGTAACACCACCACTGCAGGATACAAAGAGCAAACAAGAGGTAACAAAGTACAGTAATGTAAATTATCTTTCTAGTATAGCTTGAATCCTACTGCCTTCCTGGTCATGGACACATTGTTAACTTGGCAGCAGTACAGAAACCAAAAAAGGTTTCCCATTTTTTTCTTCCAATGTGTTTTTTTCAATATATATTGAATAAGCCTAGAACTTTCTGGTGGTCTCTCCAGGTCTGACTCAGCTTAGCTTTTCAAGATTAGCCAAGGCTGGGTTAGTGCTACCATCCAGCTGGATGTTATTTTAAGGTACTAGCTGATGAAACCAGATAGAATAAGGCCCAGAACAGTTTCTAAAGAGTTCCTTAATGACATCTCTACTATAAATTCTGTAGCCTGGATTGCAAACAAGATCCACGTCAACCTCAGTCAAAGATCTTAAGAAATTAAAATTAACCCAATGTTTCTGGGTGCTTTGTATGAATAATGCATATTCTAGAAATTGGGCTACCATCAACTTTTGGATCAACCAACATTCAAAGCAAATAGAAAAAAAAAATAAGGGAAGTTAAGAAGATATGCAGGATGAATAACACCATTCCTCAGAAGGTTTCTGGAAAGAAATTTGCCACTTGAAATCTCCCAGTCAAAAATCAATCTGACCCAATGAATTTCAGTTAGCTCCAATTTACACTGTTACACTTCATACATTTATAACTTTTGGCCTGAATAATTCCACGCATGGATTCTTTGCTAACATTTTTTGTTCAAACAGTACTCAAGTCTACAATTGACGTAATCCCTTCTGCAGTGCATCAAGGATTCTTTAAAGAGTACATACGCAGGTAAGCACAAAGTATCCATAACCCTGCAAATACCAGCATGTTGGTCAACAAAATCAGGTGAATAAAAAGGACAATTTCTCTTTGAAAGTTCAAGGTGGCATATTCGGAGGCAGGGCATCTGCAGAAGGGGGAAGCGACAAAATGTGCATCATAACAACGCAATGCAAATCTTGCAACTGACATACAGTACTTGGATCCAATATTGGAACACAAGTACAAAAGGGTGCAGTTTATATTGCAACATCACTGGATGTATGTTGTCATTTTTCTGTCCTTGTGGTTTCTATCCTTGGAGTCTCCTAATTTTCTCCTCACAACAATCATGCTGGGTATGTCAGGCTGAGAGAGAGCACCTGAGCCAGACATTTATGCAACCTCTTACAACCCTTTTTTAATAGAAAAAAGATTTCATGTGAAGGAGAGTTATTACCGTGCAAGCATTCTTCTAAGCTAGGATTACTGATTGCAGGTAACTACTGAGGCAAATCCCTATCAAACCAAGATTTGGATTGCTTGTTAAATTGATATAAAGGAGAAGGCTCTATAGGTAGTCTGGGGCAACATCTAAACAATTGGTGTGTTGCTGGGAGTTTGTGAGAAACACATCAGACTTCAGTAAGCCTGCCAGAATTATTGCAGCATAATTCAAACAGAATAACAAAAACTAATTCCAATATAAATTTTGTTTGGGGTAGGGTTTGGCAACAGCCCTGCACTTTGCTAAGGAATAAATCGAGAGTATGCAAGTGTTTTAGATACCTGTTGTTGTTTTTCTTTCAGAAAACAGGCCTAACAGGAAAATCCAACTGATTTAATTTCATTAAATTAGATTAAACTAACTAAAAGCAATTAATATGATTACAGCCCATGTCTCGAACAATGTTCCCTTCTGCCAGGTTACACATTAGAATTCAGCAATCACTTTGGGGGGAGTTCTGAGGGCTGCATTCAAAGCTTTCAGAGGCTATGTGTGGCTAAGGCCCCAGGTCTGTACCTTGAGAGAAAGCAAAGAGGCAGCATGTCAAATGTTCAATGCTGCATGACAGTCAACCTCCCTGTTATTACTGATCGCAATGCAAAATTCGGTGCAGCAGCAGAGCGAACACAGCAGACCCTGACAGACTCTAAGTCAGGCCTAAGCAGACCATTATTTACATTCATGCAGCCTGCAGTTAATTCTGTGCCAACTTCAGGATGTCGATAGAGTCCTAGGCTTCACAGCCCTACATACTTATCCAGGACCTGAAATGGCATTAGGTATACATATCTTCATGCACAACCACCCTACTGGTGTTATAGAGGTGTCTGTGCCCAGACTCATAAATATTATAAGCAGTTTAATCTTAAACAGATATTCCTATTCCCCAGCCCTTTAATTCTAAGGTTTAACCTCTAAATGTTAATCTCCATTTTCAAATTAGATAGTTCTTACTGTTTATTAGTTACCACCACTAGATTTAGGGCTAATTTCAGCTACTTTATGGCTCGGGTTTTTATGTTCTTAGTTGGTTTTTGCTGTTTTTTACTTGTTCTGTTTTGTATAGTTTTACATTGTTCACGTTTAGTGCTTATGCTTTTAGTGCACTCTGCACTGGTCTTGCCCAATTGCAGTTTTAGTTTAGTCTTAGTTTTATACATATTCTGGACTTGGATCACAACAATAAAGACAGTTTGACAGTCAACCTCAATGGTCTACACAATGAAAGGGAAAACATGCCTTTGAACAGTTGCAACCATTTAAAAAAACTATATCATCATGCTCATTTCTTGAATCTTTATCCAGCTGAAGATTCATGCATGTGATACAGACTCAGTGATTCACAAACTTCACTGTAGAGAAAAGATAGTGTCCCACCTGTAAATATCAATGAACTCTAACAAATTGACTGATCTGTGTTTCTCCCACTCTGGTTCTTCTTGCTGCAGCAATGGGGGGAAATTATCATGATTTCTGGCCTGAGCAAAGATATCCCGTAAGGCAACCGCATAGACCCGACCTAAACAGAAAGGAAATGCAAAGTCTAACATTCTGTTGTGTTTTGATAAAGCGGGTCTGAAATCACTCAGGAGCTAGAAAACTAAAGGCATTCAGGTTGCAGTAGGGACATCCCATCCACAATGAGGACCGTTACAAGTACACAGCCAAAAATTCTAGCTGTTGTATAATAACCAGATTTCTGTTCAGTGGATCTTGGAGTCTTTACAATGGATCAGTGTATCTTTCCCTTAGAAACCTTTCTATCTAGTCGTCATGCTTCCCCAGAAAAGACATGGCAAGGCCTGGACTCCCTTAGTGAACACATGAGCTGCTTTTGCACTACAGGTCAAGGCATGGTTCAAGACACATTTCTAGCACATATAAAATACTCCTATAAGACCTTTTGCAGTGGTAATAATGTAACATATTGTCCAAATTATTATTACTGTTGGTCGGAGTCAGCCAGATGTTTAGACCGGATTTGGCATTTTTATCCACCTATCGAGTCTTTCCCAAGGACCTGGGATAGTTGTTGTTGTTGTTAATTTTAACCCATTTGTTTATGTGAAGGGAATTAGTACCTTTCTAAGGGATAGATACTGTGCTGGTTATGCAGTATATATTAAATAAAAGGGGTTGGTTACTTGTAAAAAGGTACTGGATATGGTCAGCTTTTACAAAAAGTCATGCCCATAGTGATTTCATTTTTCACCACCAAGCCAACTAGATATCCTTTAGGAATGTAAATCGCTACGTTTCATATCATGTTGGCAGTTTATAAATTAAACGAATATCCTGAAGGTGAAACCCATGAAACTCTCATCATCAGGACCAAGGTGATGCTGCCAGGGTTATTTCTTATTTAGAAATAAGAATAAGAAAGCAATTAGACATTTTACCAAAGCCAAACAGGATGTAGACTGCTCCGTGGCTCGTGATATAAGTTTGTGGACCAATCAGTTTTCCACTTCTGCTGATACTGTACTTCACAGGTCCTCCCACGGGGTTTCCAGTTTTACCCGATACCAGGATAAAGCTTAACTCTGGCTATATGAAAAAAAAGTTATAGGGAATGTGAAGATGGAAGTCCAATCTCATTCTATCCAGCAAAATTGAATGAAAAATGTTTTTGTTTTTCTAGCTGCATCCTGCTAAATGTTATCAAGATCCTTATTTAATCAACCTATCTGAGGGTCAGATGGTATGGGGAGTGTTGAGCATAGCTTATTACAGCAGTTTCCCTATTAACAAAAGTACTTTTTACATTTTTCTGCTTCAGAAAAGGAGGCTGGCGCATTGTGGAAGTCATTCATTAGGCATTTATTCTAGCCTTGCCTAATCTGGTGCTCTCTAAATATCTTGGATACCCAGTTGGGAAAGACTGGAATAAACTATAAGAAAATAGTGTGTTCAGATCTCCCTCCTTCCTGCCACAGGTTTGGGAAAGGAACCCTACCTGTGTTTTTCCAATGGTCAAGACCACCAAATCGCTGACCCGATCTCCATCCACATCAGGTATAATAACAGCTGGAGCAGCCAAGATTCCATTAGGAAACTGGGATGAATCAAAGGTCCAAACTGGCTTCCCTAAAGGATGATATACAATAAAATCTGTATCAGCAATACAGCAGCTTACAAACTGGTTAGAGTTTACAGAAGGCTTACAGAGCTTGACCGGTGGTGGGGTGGAAGGAGAAAGCAGTTGAGCAGATTTCAACCAAAAGTTGGTCACATCTATCGAATACTCAACCTAGCACCTTCCAGGTGTGTTAGGATTGCAACTCCAATAATTTATTTTCTAAAAAATGTTGGAAATGCATTAATCAGGTCAGATCCATGGTTCCCAAATCGTGCACTGCAGTGCCCCAGGGCTGCCGCAGCAAACCCACAGGAATGCCACGGTTTATTTTACTACTTAATAAACAGAACTCTTAGTGCTGCTGGGCACAGTTTGGGAACCGCTAGGGATACCTTGAACTGAAAAAGTTTGGAAACCTCTATCTTGGATCGTTTGTTCATATTTGGGGACAAAGTTGCAAAGCACAACAGTTCTGAAAGATGATTTATTACAAAATGAAACAATTTTTAAAGATTCTCTTACCAGCCAGACATTTTTCTGTTAAACATTACCAAACCTTATATTCCCACAAAATATACTGAGTTGGCTGTATGCCTGACAACAGCTGCCAAGACATTCTGTGCCTTTTATTGGAAGTGATATATAACTCCCTCTATAGAAAAATGGCAAGCTAAGTTGTGGGAGTATGCATAAATGTCAAAAATAACCTCATAACTGAAAAATAAACCTGATGTAGAATTTAACTTGTTGGAAACAATTTATGGATTACAATTCTGCATATGAATATGTATCACAACCAGAGTTTAGGTTTTTTTTAACATAAGATTTTATTATATTAGGGTGTTTGTTGGTTTTGATTCATGAAATAAGGATATAATTTTTAGATTAGGCAGAAACTTTTGTTAGCTTTTCATTCTGACATATGATTCATATTATACTGGCTATACTGTCAGATTGTATGTGGGTATGGATAGCCTGATCCACCATCAGTTCTTGTTGTTTATTTCTTTTTTATGTTTTTCATAATTACTGTATTTTATTTTCATAGTGTTAGTTTTATTGTATACTACTCAGAGTATATTTGGAGTCGGTTGATGCCCAAATTAATTAAATTAAATTGTTCTGAAGTCTTAAATTGATATATGTTAGTTTAATATACACCATTAATCTAATGACATTTCAATTTTTTATTAATTTTATATTGCTTATAAATCTCTTTTCTTTTTTTCCTTTTTTGTTTTTCTTACCTTCTTTTTCCTGCTTTTCTACTTGATTGTTTATTTTAGTAAAGATTTATAAAACACAAACTGAGAAAAAAGAAAGAGAAAACTATAGGGGAAAGAAAACCTCCCAGAATTCCCAGTCCTCATTGATTTGACCATGCTTTCTGGGAATTTGGGAATGTGCAGTCTTCATACATCTACAGCGCTAGGTTGTAGCAAGCTGCAATATTGAAATAATGCCCACAGCACTATAAAATACCTGGTTTTCATAATAATGCATAGCTTCAGCCTACTGGCAAATTCTTGCTCCACCCTTCTTGCTCAACTATCCAATCACTACTACCACGTCTTCCTCCTTATCTTGATAGGAAACAAGATAAAATCCTCCCATCCCAAGTTCCTGACTGCATAGTGAGAAGTATCAGAGAGTTGTTCATTAAGGTATCTTAGATACAGGCTTTCCTATGTAAAGGGAACTGAACATCTTTTCACAGCACTGTAATCTCTTTTTCTACCTTTTTTTTTTTTTGAGGGGGAGGGTGGGGAAGTTGGCGGGAGGGAGAGTAAAACATGGTGTCAGAACCCACAGCAATCAAGATATATATCAACTAGAGGACTGTTTTATTAGTATAGTAAATACCATTTGTATACTTTGATTTTAGGGAATGTTTTCTTAGCTTGCTTTGATTCTGCCATTCTC